CAAACTCAATTCCAGCTTTCCCTTTGTGATATGGAACCTTGTACATGTAGTACAATTTCATAAAGATCCATACACTTACACACAAGTTATTGTCTGGAAACTAGAAAAATGCTTGTTTTTTGCCCCTTTTTGGCCCCTTATTCCTAAAATTTGGAAGCAATTACCCCCAAAATCAATCCCAGCATTCCTTTTGTGATATGGAACCTTGTGGTACAATGTCAGAGAGATCCATACACTTACACACAAGTTATGTCTGGAAGTTACAAAAATGCTTATTTTTGGCCCCTAATTCCTTAACTGTTGGTACCATAACCCCCAAAATCAATCCCCACAATTCTTTTGTGGTATTGAACCTTATGGTAAAGTTTCATTGAGATCCATTCACTTAAACTAAAGTTAGAGTGCGAAAATTAATGTGTCTTCGGACGACGACGACAACGACGAAGACGCCAACGTCATACCAATATACGACCACAAAAATTTTTTTGCGGTCGTATAAAAAGCAGGCATTGTGAAAGTTTGCATTATATTAGAAGATGATATTCATTTATTCTTCACTTGCCAAAAAATACATGTAAAATATTACTTAAATTGATAGAATTATTTAAAAGGTATAACCAGAGACATATATACACATTGTGTATATATGTCTCTGGTATAACATCAAAACAAATAGTCATGAAACAATTTTTTCAATTTTTTTTTTATTAAGGTATATATGGTTCAACTTTGTTTTATTATTTCATTTTATTTTTGAATTTTCTTGTCATAATCACAGTAATTAAATTTGACAAACACATATATTTTACCTGAGACACTTTACCTGTAAGTTATATAATTTGAACACTTCAATGCAGTCATGATTTCCCTTTATCCTTGACTAGTTTTTGATTAATACCTTGTGTATTAATTAAGCAACAGGTGGTATAATGATGGACGTAATTTTTATGGCCACCATTAATAAGATAAAGTCACAGGTAGTACTGTACACCTTACAATCATTCCATACACCAAATACAGTAGACCTATTGCTTACAGTATAAGAAAAACAGACCAAAACACAAAAACTTAACTATAACCATTGAACCATGAAAATGAGGTCAAGGTCAAATGACACCTGCCAGTTGGACATGTTCACCTTACAATCCTTCCATATACCAAATATACTAGACCTATTGCTTATAGTATCTGAGATATGGACTTGACCACGAAAACTTAACCTTGTTCACTGATCCATGAAATGAGGTCGAGGTCAAGTGAAAACTGTCTGATGGGCATGAGGACCTTGCAAGGTATTCACATACCAAATATAGTTATCCTATTACTCATAATAAGAGAGAAATTAACATTACAAAAAATCTTAACATTTTTTTCAAGTAGTCACTGAACCATGAAAATGAAGTCAAGGACAATGGACATGTGACAGACGGAAACTTCGTAACATAAGGCATCTATATGCAAAGTATGAAGCATCCAGGTCTTCTACCTTCTAAAATATAAAGCTTTTAAGAAGTTAGTTAAGGCCGCCGCTGCCTTGCTGGATCACTATCCCTATGTCAAGCTTTCTGCGACAAAAGTCGCAGGCTCGACAAAAATGAGAAACAAGAAACACCTATGAACCACACCAACAAACGACAACCACTGAAGAACAGGCTACTAACAGGACTGTTTTAAAAACATACATATATAAGGCAATATCAAGGATAGAATTTGAAGTGACTTGTACAGGAATGGACCCAAACAGCTCTGACACAAAAATAGTAGGGTGCCCAGTCAACAATTTGGATTAACTGAATACCACATGGCTGTATCTTATATCATTGGAAAGAGGAGAACAAGCCGCATCGAAATATTGATGTCGTCATTGTCTACAGTGGTCACGTTAATCTTAAATTTGAATCAAAGGTCAAAGCTAAAATTTCAGTAAAAAAGCAGAGTCATATTTAGACAGCTTGACGCCCTACATATATATGTTAAGAGCGAAATAAATTCAAATAATTTAAAGGATTATAACTATAATTTTTTATATTTAAGACTAATTGGATATTTATGTTGCCAAATATGATTCGAGATTGACGTGTGTACGTACACATAGGATGCACATTTACAATTTTCATTCAGCTGTTAAATAACAACCTTGACCAATTTCAATTTCAAAATTTGGAATTTTTGTATAAGATTTGATACATGTGTACTCTAGAAATGTTTTTTAGATATTAAAACATTTATAAGTTTCCTACCTAAAAAAGATGTTTTCCCCATCTTTTGATAGAAGATGTTCGTCATTTTTTTGGTAAATACATGTATCTAATTTTCTTTCTGTGAGTGTGGAAGAACATACAATTTCAATTTTTTCAAAATGTCAATTGGGAACAGGGTGACTCACTCCATCTTACACTTTAATATGACTTATTGAGCAGAAATTGGCTATAAAATTGACATGAAGTTAAAGAATATCTACAGGAAGAGGGTTTTGTCCAGCATCATTGTATTTTACAAACACTTGTAGACAACATGAAAAAATGGTCGAAGCTGGTTACAGTTATTAAATTTCTTTGTCTACTGTAGAATTAAAGCCATATATAAACTAAATTATAAGCACTATTTCAACCACCAGCAAAGAGCACAATAATTTTATTTTTCATGTTAAAGATTCCCCGTACAATACAGTATCTGGGGGTACCCTGTAAAACACGAAATTTAGAAAATCGTGACCACGGGAAGTTAAGATGACAATCATGATTGTAAAATATAATGATTTTCCTATACAATGTAATTTGCAAACAAATTTAGCCATTAACTTAAACTTGTTAACTAGAAGCCTTTTTTCAACATGTTTTAGGCACCCTACTAAAACTATCCTTTTTGTCAAGAAATGAAACAAAATTTTCCTCATACTCTGGTCAAAGTGTTTTTAGATTTAACTTGTGATAAGGCGAAGCATGGATACATGATAATCTGGTTGTATAGGTGGGCAAGGAAGGGTTCATGTGTTTTCTCACCTTTTTTTTAATAAAAAGATACATTTTCATTGCATTCCTGTGTCAATGTCAGAGAAGTGTTGTGGGTTGCTAGAGTTATTTTCACGCAACGTGTTTACTTGTGCTGTGCCTTCGATAAAAATTTCGACCGTTGATCGATTTTTTTAAAGAGGAAAAATATAACATGAATGGAAATAACAATGTACAGAAAAACAGTTCGTTGTTTTATGAATATGCATTAAAAATCTAATCGCTGACATTAAAAGTACATTCCCATGGCTATTCCTATATCATATACTGTGGATTCATTTTATTTCGTGGGTTACCAATTTTCGTGGATTGAGGAAAACTTGCATTTTCGTGGATCTTTAATTTCGTTGTTTTGGCAAAGTCTGCATACATTCCTTTAGAAAATTTGCAATTCGTTGAACATTTAAATTCATGGTTCCCCTGGATCCATGAAATCCACGAAAATTGGTATCCAACGAATATTAATGAATCCACAGTATATGATTAATTTTTTAGTTTCATGTCCAGTGGCAAATGTTTCATGTATTTTTTAATACAAGTTCATTCTGATTGGAATAGATTGAATTTTTTATGGCAGGTTTTGGACCACTGAAGACAGGTCTTGTCTGATTAACCTGTTTTCACATGTAACGTTCCAAAATTATGACATTTGTTTGTTTCGATTATAACAAATTTCATCCGTTTTATAGAAGTTTCAACCTCAATAAAGTCTTCATATATCAGTATATATAGAACCAATTATCATTGATTAAACAATTTTTATGTTTACTATCGATGTATTGATCAAACTTTTAAACTCACTAATTTTCCGATTATATTAACTACATTTTGAATTAACAACTCGACAACTTTAAGTTTTGAAAGTTTTCAATCTATAAGTTCATGTACAGTGTAGATCAACTTAAAAAATATTCCCTCCGCATGGTAAAATGATACCTTTTCAGTAATAACAGTTTCTGAGACTAAATTACATGAACAATGAGAAACTGCACCTTTACATTTTCTTTTAATCATGTTAATGAAGTGTATTTTCCCAAAGAACACACCGTGTATTAGTTAACCAAAACTTGCAAGGTTCTCGATTGCTTTATATGCATATGGTCATGGTATTTCTTAAATACAAGACGGGTGGTATGGTATATCATCTGTTTCGGTTTCTTTGACATATATACTTATAAGAAAGAGTAGTTCAAATGCCACCCCAACAATCATGACAATGGTTCTATGAAATAGATTTTCTGTTATGGCAGTAATGTACCTTCCTTTGTTGGACTTTTGGGTTGTCATACTAATGGGGTGTCAGACCAATGGGGCGTTGGACTAGTTGGGTGTCAGAATATCAGGGTGACCACTATATTAACTCTCTATATAATATATATCAGTGACCTCTATAGATATTTAGTTCATATTATACAGAAAAACGTGAAATGAATTAGAATAGAAAACAAAAAAATAACGGATTTGGGAAAAAGGGGGAGGGCTAAAAAAAAATTGTCCTGTTCCCAATTCCTACATGTATGATATACTGATATGTGAGGGTCGTAATGGACCTTCAAGACGAATAACGATAAAAAATGTTACCAAATGACGTTAACGGTAATTTTTGGTGCATGACGATAAATTGTACATTTTCTTTATGAGGACCGATTTTGACAAATCACGCTAAATTATTTCCAAAAATAACGCTAACGGTTTATTTTTTGAGACCTCTGACGACTCACGATAAAAAATTTAACCAATTTGACGCTAACGCTAGCCGAAAATGACCGTTTGACGCCTGACGGTAAATGGCATTAACAAAATAAATTTTACTTTCAGTTTCATTGATCAATAGCACATATAAATACAAATTTCATTAATCTCGATATTTGCTTTCAACCATAACAATTAACATAATACAATCATTAATCTCGATATTTGCTTTCAACCATAACATATTGTGACTTGAAAATTGAAATATAATGGTGCGTATGTTGGAAAACATTTTACCTATAAATGCAAAAGAAATCTGCCAAAATAAGGATGACGTAGTTTTCTGATTGGTTTCTTGTGAACTGACAAAAATAGAATCGACCGCTTGTGTCGTTAGAAAAAGGTTAACTAGAACATGTCTCGTCTCCCCGATCACAATCTTTTTTATCGATAGTTTTAAATCATCTATATATAGTATAATTTTGGCAGTGGCTTTTTTGACGGCTCTATTGAAATTTTGATTTATACTGTTAATTGATTTAAAATAAAAGCCTACATACTAATCATAGTACACAATTTCAGTAAATTGGTGTTCTTAATATGTCGTTTGCATTATGTACATGTACATGTTGTACATGTATAAAATACATGTAATAAGAAGCGGATCCAGCAATTTAAAAAAAAAGCCATATGTCCCCATTCACATATGAATTTGCTTCATATACTACTGACGCAAATCATTTAAAAATTGGTATTTTTGAGCTTTGGCAGACCCAATAGTACATAGCGTTATTTGCAAGGAAACTTGTTTCTCTATTTTTTTAATTTTTTTTGGGGGGGGGGGGGGCAATTTAGCCCTTTCTGGACCCATTGTTTAAAAACATTTAATCAACGTGTGGTTGTTGATGATCTCAGTAAAAGATTGGCTAAGTTTATGTCATAACCTTATCAGCTCTCTCGATGAATTGAATTGAATTGAATTCAAAAGCATTGATCGTCGAAAAAAAGGGAGGTACTTTTGAATTGCGGTTCATTACATTTTGATTTGTGATACATTACATTTTGAATTGTGTTACCTTATGGTTAAGTTTTACTGCTAATTTCCATCTGTGAATGATTTAAAAGTAGCAAATAGGCTATTATATATTTTTTCAAATACTTTACATTTCAATTCTTTTATAAATGTTGATAATAAACACCATTTTATAGTATCCAAAAAGACAAATTTAGGATTCATCAATTTTTTGTAGAGTCGGCAAAATAGCATGTTTTCTATTTTGCCGGCGCCAGTAAAACAGCACCTGCCTATAATTTCGGGTCCCGGTAAAGTGAGAAACGGAACAGAAACGAAACAGAGCGAAACGAAACCATGCCAAGAAATTGCCTCCGTTGAAATTCTGCAAATATCCCATAGAGCAAATTACATGGATGATTAATATTGACCATTTGGTATATGGCTGTGTTCTAAGCGACACGTACATGAAGGTCATAAATTAATTTGTTGAATGAAATCAAATCTTTAACTACTAATGGGTGCCGTAGGAGGTCTACCGGAATTTTTAGCTTAGATTTCTTCGCATGGAAACATGGCGAAACGAAACGAAACACAGCGAAACGAAACGAAACACGACGAAACGAAACGAAACATGTAAATTGAGAAACGAAACACAACGAAACGAAACAAAATCTGTATTTAGAGGAACCACCTATAGAAAATCTTCCTGACATAGCCGAAGATCAGTGTGGGTTTAGAGGGCCCTTTTGATTGATATCCACGTTGCGCACGGTATTGGTGTCTCTTTGGAAAAATGCTATAGTTAGCGGGTAATTCTAACTCAAGCTCTTTTCCTATACAAGACAGATCCATGTTCTACATATCATTCGAAAGGAAATAAACCAAAGAAATCGATTACATAGATGATTTTGTGCTTTGTATATTATGTAAAGAAAACCTTTGCTCATTTCGATGCCTATAACGTCATTTTAAGGGTGTCCCGCTGTTACAATTTTGTTTTGAGCACGTCATTGAAATCCCAGTGCGGATTAATTAGTAGGTTAAATGTGATAAAATTTTACAACTGTATTGTATACCTTTAACGAAAAAGGGGGTCATAGACGTTTTTAACTGTGAGTGAAAGAGGATCGTCAGAAGCGTTTAGATTAGGAAGAGAAAAAATGTCCCACTGAGCTGCTCAACCCTTATAAAATCTTTCTGCTTTTTTATTATAAGATATAACAGATGTAAATGGCTTTTATTAATATCAGAAAAATTATACATGTCCTAAAGAAGCTATCTGAAGTCATCATTATGTAACTGCGGTCTTACTTTCATAACATCGTCAGTTTTCCCGTGTCCAATAAAATGTCCCGATGGACAAAATAACACAAAGAATAATTCGGAGGCTGTTTATTAAACGAAATTCTACTTGATCTTCAATTTTTAACACCTTTTAACTGATATGAATGGAAAATACATTTAATTTCCTCTAAAATGATATGATATGTACTTTTGTTTGAGCTGCAGGTAGAAAATACGAAACGATCTAAGATGTCCAATGACATGTCCCCATAACTGTAATTTGACGTTCACGTTATGATAATGCTAAACTGTTACAGTACATGACTTTTTTTGCATATTTGGCATAAAATAATTTCATTAGTTGGTCTGATCAATATAAAATAAAGTTCTCGTTTAATATGCATTAAAATATAGATCTGCATTGTATCAATGATTTAAGATGTCTAAATATTTAACTCGGATACTTCATAAAGACAAGGCTCCGGGCCATAAAAGTGAGACAAGATTACATATGATCACAGTCTCACTTTTAGCAAAGCAACATACAGTGAAAATGAAAATGCGATCAAAAGTGAGCTCACCTTATTTAGCCATATTATAAACGATTCAAAATCAAGCTATACACCCTATCCTTAATTCCTAGCGTTGTTATTAAAATAATTTCTCAAAAGTACTCGTTAGTCATAAACATTTCGGTATAACGTGCAATCATTTTTTGTCGCAGCGACTCATTTAACAAAAAAAAAAATACGAGAGAAATGCTCGAGTATGTCATGAACATTTCAGTATAGCTTACGATCATGTTTTTTGTGTACTGTGGGTAGAACAATGTCTAGTCATCTACCTAGCAACATGTGTATGAAACAGAAGATTAATACTTCTAGAAGTAATGTGAGGCAGAATGGAGTTTATTGACTCGAATCTCCAACAGAATTGCCTGATACATAGCCATGCGATGCGACGATCGACTATTAAAATTGTAAATGGAACTTTTCTATTACATTAATTTGAGAGAGAAAGAGATAAAGAAAAATTCAAATGCACTCAGTGTTAGGGTTATAGTTGTCCGACAAATATGATGGATTGCACACAAACATGTAGCAGGTTCCACTGTATATATTTACAGACACTCCAAACCCTTTCGAAAAAAAAGTCCCCATGCACTGGACCCAACATCTTCACAAATTTCTTTCTTTCCATTTTTTTTGAAAGCGTATTTTTTGCGGGAAGTTTAATATTCTTTGCATGAATAACCAATTTATAAAAAAGAGGCAGAGAGAATTTCAAATACTATTAAATATACACTGATTACGCTGTATATATGTAGGACTCTAAAGTGCGATGGTACTCTAAAGTGCGATGGTCACGCTAAAGTCCGATGGTCTACGCTAAAGTGCGATGGTGTCAGACGCTAAAGTGCGATGGTTGTTTGTTTTTAAGTGCGATCAGATAACACGCTAAAGTGTGATGGTATGACACGCTAAATACGATGGTGTAACGGGAATGTGGTTCAGGCAATGGTTTTTGTTTGTTGCTGAGTTCCTATTACTTTTTCGTGAATTGTTTTATTTAAACATCAAGCCGTAGTCTTTCTCTTTTGAATTGTTTTACACTGGTCACTGTTTAACCCTATATAGCTTGTTATGTTGTAGTTGTATGGGCCAAGGATTTACGTTGAAGGCCGTATGATTACTAGTTGTATACATGAACGACATTTGGGGTTGAATGGATAGTTCATACTACATCTTCTTGTTTTTATTATAAAGTACAATAGTTGTCCAAAAAATGTAATGGTTACATTGCAGTAGTTAGTTTATCCGGAATTTAGTGGTAGTCGTTTGTTTGTATATTTCATATTTGATGTTCGTTTATTCTTTTGTATTTAAATCATGTTGCTATTTTTCTCGTTTGAATTGTTTTACACTGGTTGTTTTGAGGCCCTTTAGTCTTAATAGAATACTATGCGGTGTAAGCCAAGTTGAATGTTCCGCGTTAAAGGTCATACTATAACCTAAAGTTGCATACATTAATGACATTAGGTCTTCGATAGAGAGTGTCTTATTGGCAATCATATGTTGATACTACACATCTGTCCGTTAGGTTGCTGTCTAGTTGACGTATATTCATTATTTAACAGAAGTAACAAACCATATTGTAATTTTTTAATAGAAATATTCAATTAGAAAGTAAAAAAGAAGACTCTTGGTTCTCTCAAAGCACTCTGGCTTCCTCAACCAATATAAACTGACCGCATCGAAATAGCCAATAGTGTCGAATTTGGTGTTAAATACCAAAAAAATCAATCGACCAATCTGCTGTGTGCAAATGTTCAAGTTTTGTGTATAGTAGATCTACTAGGCCTTTTTTTATCTTCGCAGAACGCCACAAAACATGGCCTGAATATTGCTTTTTATACTTTTAAAAACAAAATCAAAAACATTGAAACCGAAAACCCGAAAATAACCCGTTTGGAAACGGTCTAAAAATGTCAAAGGAAATAGTGTAAACTGATACTCAGTTATATGCTGAAATTGGAAGCGCTAAATCAAAAACAATTTATAGTATGAAAAGTACATAGTACTTCGTTTCAGAAAACATTGATACATGTGTATGTACTAAAGTAGTAACTAAAAAATACATATCTTGTCACATAAAAATAAACATAATTAGGTTTAAAAATCGGATTTCGGTCTGCTGTTAATCAAATAGTGGTTAAGATAACATAGAAGTTAACAACTATTATAGGTCACCGTACGGCATTCGACAATGAGCAAAACGCATACCTCATAGTCAGTTATGAAAGATCCCGAAATGACAAATGTAACCAATTCAAAGGAGAAAACTTACGGCTTGATTTATTGATAAAACAATCCTGATTTAAAAATTATAATCAATGAAAACATTTTATTTAAAAAAAAATAATTTAGACCCCGACCAACCTTAAAATATTGAAAGTTGACAATGGCAGCTTAAGAACACGTATTTCTTTCTCAAACTTGTAGCATATTTTATCAAGTATTTCGTTAGTGATTTATAAAAAAATTGTAATTGATTTCAAGATTGTGAACTAATACGAGCATGACCTGATAGAATAT